ATCTCATTTTCGTAGAACTTTTTCAAAAAGAACACTTGTTATCTAAGCTCTTCTGTTTTATTGTTAATCCACCGACAATTTTTTTATTCCTTTAAAGCATCTTGGTTTAGCTGACTTTCCAATTACCACTAATTTACATTTTTCAGAACCCGACATGTTTGCTCAAATGAGTATGGTTTTTTTGATAGTTTTCTAACTTTAAATCGCTAAATTTTTCTCTTTTGATTTCAGCTTGTTTTTACCACTTTCAAACTCTTTTATTATTGATATTTTTTCTTTGATAAAAACTGACTTCTTTTTGAAGACGACATTTTGATACAGAAAGACGAAGCGTTTTCTGCTTGAAAACTTGTTTAAGAATGAGAAAGTGAGAAAAATAAGACCATTAGGACGCAAAAACATTTCCAAAAAAATTGTAGTTTACAATACGTAACGGAGACTTGCAGCATTTTTATTTCTTCTACAAAATTTCGTTAAAACCGATCTATTTTCGAAATTTCTCAAAATTTCTCACTACTACCGATCTTGGATAAAATACTCGTAAATGTTTTGTTATATCCACTCAATTCCAGAAAAATACTCGCTATAGAGGAAGAATTTTACATAGAGTAGTATACAAAACGATTTTTCGTTGTGAATGACGTTGGGTAAACAAACAAGATTACGACAACTATAAAACTGACTTGTATGTGTGCCTCACAGGATTACCTATGTTATAATCAAAAGGAGTGTAAATTATGCTGATACATTTTTGAAATTGATACACGTTAAAATTTAGTTGAAATTAATGTTTAAATCTAAATTATCTATCCATTTTAAAGTAAGCACTTTGTACTAGAATAGAATGTAAAACATGTACCATAATTCATAAAAGCTGAATTTGTTACATGAAATCACGGAAAAATTTCTTCAGTGCAATTTTTATACGATTGGTCTGCTGGTTACTACCAAAAAGATGGGCATTTTCTTACGAAAACATGGCAACAAAAAGTCACTTGAGAGTCACCAGCGATTTAACCCAACTTACCTCTATACCAAATTGCACCATTCAAAACTTTTATTCCAGGAGTCTGGTACAAACAGTTTTTTTAGCGAAGCAATTATGAAAAAAAAATTCTTCGACAGGTAAATTTTGTTTTTAATTATTTTTGTTCTCTATAAGAAAAATTGAGTTGATTCATTACGATGCTTTTTTTTTTTTAAACAGAACATGCAATTTTTTTTAGATTTTTCTGCTATAGCAATGGAAAACAAAGAAACAGAAATAAAATCGACTTTTCTAAAGAGAATTTTTCATAAATGCCTCTCTAAAAAATATGAATTTTGTTCTAGACTTTTGGTGCGCAATTTTTCTTACTTTAATTTATAAATTTATATAAAATTAGATGTTTTAGAACATCCGTTGTTCAATACCAGTTTGGTCCCTGACATCAAATTTTTAATAATTTTGCTAATATGTAGGAGTAAGGACAGTGGTTCTAAACAAAGGACAAACGCAAGAATAATAATTGTGAAATGGGATTATAATAAAAGACGGTGGCGTTCTATAATAAGGAAATAAAATATTAGTTTTACTAGAATAAATAAATGAATGGTTTTGGTCACTATGTATAAAAGTAGTCTAAAGTTATTATCACTACCTTAGATTTATAAGCCAATCAAATAATAACACTCGTTTGTTGATTTTGTTTAGAATAACTGTGACTTAGGAAACATTTAACAGAGAGATAAATTTAAAGCTTTGTTAAACCATAAACACCAATCAGTTCAGCGCTACCACAGCAACGACCCAACAGTTAAATTTTAAATAAAGTTTAATCGTACCAGAAATCGGGCTTTGTTTTGGAATAACGTGATACGTGATAATTTGAGAAATAATAGTATATCATATCTCAAAGTAGAGAAGAGATTTTTTATAGCCGAGCTGTTTATTTCTCGAGATATGTAGCATCGAGGGAAATAATTATTGCGAGGCCATAAGAATCTTCTTTACTTTGTTTTATATACCATTTTTTCACTCCTAGCACATTTATTACCGAGAAATACAACGGTGGAAAATATATTCCCACTTAATGGACATTTTACCTCATACGTAACATGTTGTAAATCACAACTACTATTTTTGTATGTAACTATTATCTACAGTTATTAATTACTTACCTGAGTTACTAACTTATGTTATCGTAAATGAGGTTATGCCATTTTTGTACTTATGCACTATTAAAGAAATTTTCAAGCTTCATAATATGAAATATTTGTTAAAATAACAAAGAAACTGCAAAGAAAAGGAAAAAAGTGTTAAAATTTGTCTCACTACCGATAGTACAATGCGATCAAAAAGTCTTTCTATTAAGTAGGCGTCCTAGTTCAGGACGTATGTTGCATGGCAGTTCGTATGTTATCTAGATGTCAAAAAATTATTTTATAAAAATTAAAACATTGAGCTAATTAAACTGAATTATTCTATGAAACGTCTCAAAACAAACTAAAATAAGATTTTGTTAGTGTTTATTCATAAAAATCGTTCACCACGGTTCCTGTCATAATTTACATAAAAATTATTTTGACATTTCTCATTTGTCATTGTGACATTTTATCTTCCACAGAAATACGTTTTAAATTTCTACGCTTGCTTGACTTTTGACAGACTTTTTGATCGCACTGTACAAAGTGTCCGTAAATGACTGAAGGATCAAGTTAGCTTTGAAATAACCTCTAAATTTGCCGCTTTATATGATACTGAATATTGATAACACAAAAAATATTTGACATGTGACATTGATAAATTTCATATTTACTACATTTTTCAATTAACTGCTTTTGTTGCAGCTCTAGATTGAGAGCAAGAACTCCACCGTGACAAGAAGAACAAATGAGCACTTCGTAACTATTTTATTAAAATTCTAACAATTTTAGTGTTTACTAGGAGACAAATATATTTTGTGTTATCAGTATTCAGTATCATATAAAGCGGCACATTCAGAGGTTGACATTATTTCAAAGCCAACTTGATCCTTAAATCATTTACGGACACAGTGTATTTTAACAAGAAATAAACCCATTTGTTGTTTTGTCAGGTTTGACATAGACAGAAGCAGTTATTCTGATGTTTTTAATGAGGAGGTTTATACATCTTTTTATTTGATTTTGCATTAACTTCATCCCGAAATATCGAACGATCAAGATAATTTGTAATCGAGTGATCTTTGGATCCGAAAACGTGTGTCTGTAAAATGTCAAGTAAAATGACAAAGTCGAAAGGTAAAATGGCATGATCAAAAAGGTGATGATTATAATAACTAAATTTGTAATTTACCTTAAAAAAAGAGCGGCCCTACGGGTATTATTATACGTCGGCGATTAATTCCAGACCATTTTGCCGTTTTACCTTTCGACTTGTCATTTTATTTGACATTTCACGTGCAGTTGGACATAAAGTCTGTTTTTTTTTTAATTGGAAATTACCAAGTCAAAATTTTGGTGAAAAAATTGGTAGCAGCTTGTCTCCATAGCCACAAATTTTTGTTTGCTCTTGGTTTTGTCCCTAGAAATTTTGTTAAAAAATTATGGTTGTGTTCAAACTGTCAAAATTTTGACTTTTATGAATCTTGTGTACCTGTTTCTCTTTGAAAGCGCTATAATTCAATACCTGAGGACAAACATCATTACCTAAGGTCTAAGGACAGAATTCAGTGCTAATAATTTTGACAGAAACACACCACAAGTAAGTACAATGTTGTGGACAAAAATGAGATTGCTACAAAAACTTTGAAGAAAAAGGATGTATATAAAGAAAAAAGTTATTTAGCAAAAGATACAAGTAGGTATTATGTGATTGGCAATAAATTTTGTGTAATTTATTGAAATGAGCTCAAAGTTGATGCATTTTATAAATTCTTTTTCAGCTTTAGTTTCAAAATTGTTACTTTTTTAACTCGTTCCTCAAAAACGATGCACAAGACATTAATTTAATTGCGTTCTTTCCGAGGTTCTTTCTCATTCATGTTTATTTTGTATTATTGTCAATTTTTTACTAAAAATTAAGAATGTTTCGCAAACCTGCATTACAAATTGCTTTTACATTTTAACGAGTCCTTTTTCTAACTTCCAGCTTGCGATTTCGAAAAACTGTTAGTGTACCGAATTTGTTTCTTTTTTGGTGTTTCGTCTTTAAATTTTCTTAGACGATTTTTTGTGTTGACGTTTAATGACATTGTTTTCAAATTAATTCAAAAAACCGGAACTGCCAACTTCCTTTATTAAAATTACCATGAATGATTTTACTAGTGATGCCAACGTTAAGACTGATGGGCATTTCCATTTAAAAAAAGAACAGACTTTATGTTCTCGGATGCAAAGATGTCTCGATTACAAATTATCTTGATCGCTCGATACTTTCGTTAGTACTTGTGATGGTAATAGTTTTTAATAATAATATTCTAGAAATATTTGTATCAATGTGTAATACCCTCTAATATCGGCATATACCCACCTCTAATGGATACATTAAGCCTTTGATTCACAATGAAAATTATTATTGTCTACTAGGAGAGGAAAATAACCTTCACAACCTCTCGATAAATTAAATAACGGTATCTTTTACAGCTAGTAGTGCAAAAATAAAATTATACCGAGTGTCCACTATTTTATAGAAAATAGAAAAATATTTACCTTCTATGTTTTATATCTTATTTCTAGTTGTAAACCAACAATTCTTATTCGACATTATGTACAATCAGTCTTCTAACTGCAAGAAACGATCTCAAGGAGGTAATCGACAATAATCATTTCATAAACTAAAAATTAAACTTGTCGAAACATTAAAACAAATCTCTGAATCCGGCCCTGACCTTCTTCTTCGTGAAATGTCACATAGGTCGTATAAGTTGTCACGAACTATAGACACGACGCGACCCGAACCTTGTTCGTGTTTCCATTCGGTGTGTTCCCTTCTTTCTCTCGACACTGCCTCCAACAAAATATCAGTCTGTTTACGGTATTGGAGTGTACAATATCGCACCGTCGTAATACACTTTTTTCGACCGGTACTTTATAATGTTAATAAACAACAAAAATCCGAGACGAAACCTTCACACCCGCCAATTCGATCGTTGATAAACACAAACACCAACGATCTAGCCGGCTGTGCGTTTCCAGCAAACATGTGAATTCTTTATGACATTATCGATTCAAAAGAATAGTGCCCGAAACAGCATTTTTCCGCGTCGTTCCAGTGCAAATTGTTAAACAGTGCGATGGTTTAGTGATTTTTCTTGTTCGTTGTTTGTCTGGATTACACCTGCAGGTAAGAATGCGGCCGTTGAACGAAAGTTAATTAATCAAAACAGCGTCGAGATTCCGTGATGAACACGTGTGACGTCACTGTCAAGATGTAGATTTGTGATTTGAATTGCAAAAAAACCGCGTCGCGACGCACAAACAATAGCGACGTCGACTCGCGATTGTCAACAATTACGATGCAAATTCTGGAGGCGGCGGTGTTGAAATTAGCATTTAAAATACAAGGAAATTCGCAGGTATTACATTCGTTAGTAGGCTGGGTTTTGCGTGGCCGACCGCGATTGTCCCGTTTGAAAAGGGGCAGGTAGCGTGTGGGACACCTGGAGGTACAGTCGGGGTTGGAAACGACCGGTTTCTGTCTCTATTAGAGTTGATGGAAGCGAAGATTTTCGTGTCGTAATTCACAATTTTGATTAAAATGTTTCAAGGGTACGTTTAGACGCTTCTAATTAGAAGAAAATTTAAAATGAGGGCTTTTTTAAATTTACTACAAGATAATAATAATTAGTCATTTAAATTCAAACAATATTGTGGGTTTGGGATTAAGAGCTTTTTCGATTCTTTTAATTAAAGTTATTTTCTGGGGCGTGATCCAATTTCATTATTGTTTAATACGAGTTTAAATAAAAGGGCAAAAGAGGGGCACTTAACGAAAATTTAATAGCGAACTTTTAATGATCGTTTTATGCGAAATAACACTCCGTTTAGAAATTTTGTAAATATTAATAAACACATTTTTACGAGTGAGGTTATTGCACCATACTCGGCTGAATTTGGAGACACAAGAAAATAAGGACACGATGAGCTTATTTGTTTAACACTGCGAGTGTGATATTTTTTTACGTAAATTCAGTTCTTGAAGAAAGAAATAAACATCGTGAGTATTTAAAATCCAAATAATTATATAGTTTATTCGCACACTTTGTGAACTTATTTTTGGTGTTTTAATAAATGCCAATTGACTCTCTTTGTATGATTTTAAAACGTTCAAATCTACTATAATACAGCGTGTCTCAAAAATTTGCCGAACAGCTGTTTTTTTAAACGGAAATGTCTTAATGTTGGCACCACTTAAAAAAAGTTGGTAGTGCTGGTTTTTGATTTAATTTGGAAACAATGCTATTAAACATTAGCAAAAAAATTGTCTTAGAAAATTTAGAGACGAAAACAAAAAACGGGGATGAAAAAAGAAGAGAAAAAAGAAAAAAACCACCGTTAAACTTTATTTAACAATTTGTAATGCAGGTTTACTAAATAATTATTCTCTAATTTCTAGTAAGAAATTTACGAGAATACAAAGTAAACATGAGTGAAAAACACGCTTTATATTAGTGTGTCTGGTTACATCGTTTTTGATGAACAAGTTGAAAAATTAACAATTTTGAAACCAAAGATGATGACGAATTTTGAAGTTCCAGCTTATTTCAATAAATTCCACAAAATATTGCCAGTCGTCATAATGCCTGCTTGTATCTTTTACGAAATAACTTTGACTGTATGTACCTATACAGGAGGTCCGTGTTTCGAACTTAACCATGGGGATCTCAGTTATTATAAGAGATAGGAGGTCGCTTAAATTAATTTCGCAAAAACGCTTTTTCTTAATTCTGATCAGCATGTAAAATTTTATCATATCGTGTGATACAACGTTGTGATCAGGAACAAAAAGGCTTTTCAAAAATACAGAAATCGAATATAGCGTCCATAAGAAAATTCAAAGTTGAGTGTTGTAACTCTGACGTCAAGACCGCTTTGGAAAATACGATGACAGATCTAGATTTCTTGTAAAAAAATGCCTTAAGAACATCCTAGTTAAAAACGTCTAGGTCTTTTAGTTTTTGCTTAAAAAAAATAAAAACGAAAATTACAAATTTCCGTTTTTTTCAAAATTCAAAAACTAAAAATGACACATTAAATTTTCTTTCAGATAATTGTTTAGCATAAAAATGCGCAACTTTGTCGTAATTTAACCGACCTCGTATCTTATAATAACTGAGATCCCATTGGTAGAGCTCGAAAAACGGACACCCTGTATAGACTTTTTCTTAAATACAGCGTCATCATTTAGGACTGTTTAAGTTGGCAACAGTTTGTTAATAATTTGTAACACTGCAACCGGATATGGTTTTGCTTGACAAATACTTGGCGTACAACCTCTCGAGATTGTTAAATTGTTGTTAATCAGAAGCTGGAATATGCTGGTGTCCTTTAAAAATTAAAGTCAGGATTGCCCACAGATTTATTCATTTTTGATCACTTTGTATAATTTAACAAGTGGTCTAAGTTTTTCCGACAAGATTTGTCATTTCAGAAATAAGTGGTATTTGCGACGAAAATTACGAGTCGACGAAGGAGACAAAAGAAAAACTACGAATGTCTTAAATGACAGTTGTGCAAGGAAAAATTAGACGTACAGTTGTATTCGGCTTCAAAATCCATCGAGTAAATTTTTATTTGTGCGATGTTATTTATATTAATTGTGTTTTTAATAATTATTATAATAAAGAATAATGTTTGATGTAAAAAATTTCAGATTCTTTTTTTGTTACACGTGTGTATGTGGTTAATATTTAATTAAATAAATTTGACATAATTTTTTTCACTAAGGTCCCAATTTGAAAATTCTGTCATTTGATTGGTTAAAATTTTTTGTGTTGGATTGTTATTAAAATTTTTGTAGCAAGAAGCTGATTTTTGTCCTCAAAAAAGTACTCACTTGCAATGTGTTTCTACGTATATCAACATTATTAGCACTGGGTTCTGTCTTTAGGTATTAGGTATAGTGATGTACTGATGTCTGTCCTCAGATATTCAAATATAATTATTTCAAAGAGCAAACATACGATTTATAAAAATAAAAATTTTTATATTTCAACACGAAAATGTGACAATAAGTTTTTTACAAATCTAGGAACAAAAATTAAAAAGCAAACAAAATCTGTGGTTTTGGAAATAAGCTGCTACCAATTTTTTTCACCAAAATTTTGAACTGGTTATTTTTGTTCAACATTACTATTCATTCAGGTGATACCCACACTGTAAGTGTCGCTTTTTTATGAATATTTGTGACTGTACTAAAATTTCTGTTGTATTTTTCAGTGACTACATAAAAATAACCAAATATAATTACTGGTGTCAACGAAAGCATTTTAAGGTTAGTTAATGGAGATATTGTGTTTTGAAGTTTAACGTCAATCATTTATATAAAATAATTAATAATATCGGGTCTTTTTTAAAATTCGACGTCGAAGTTGGCTTTTGCAAATTTTTTTAATAAAATGTTTCATGTTTATTGAAATTTGATGAACATTTTTATTCAATGAAGATTGAAGATGATTAACTTTGTGCAAACTACTAAAATTGTAATTGTAAGGTTAGGTTGGTTGGTTTATGTGTTCATGGTGTGTTCACAACAAGCTTGTCACGACCAACTGCGACGTCGAATTTTAAAAAAGACACGTTATAATAATTCAAATGTATAACTAATTTTAAAAGGTTTGCCAATATACTCGTATTGTCACTGCGACAGTGCGTCTGTCACTTAAGTGCACTATATACAGCTTACAGGGTCAATGATTGTGAGTATTTTGGCGTCAGAACTCGCGCCCCAGAGAAAATTTTTAAGTAAGGTAAGATACCAGGAACATGAAAAAAATGTTTAAAAAATTCTATCTGTCAAAAAATTTTGACATTTATTTTTTGACATTTGACATTTTTTTTTATATCTATTTAATGATACTGATGATCTTGTATATGTTTTTTTACAATTATTTAGTAAAGGGATAAAAATTTTACCAATAAAAGCCACATAAATAACATTGAACAGAGTTACAATTTAGGATACAACTTCCTTGTTTACTCTTTTAATAGCCTATAGCAAAAAAACTTGTAAAATTATTTTCCCAACAGAAATAAATAGAGTCAAAGTGCAAACTTTAAACCCTCATAACTCCGAAATTTTTATAGATAAATTTTTTTTTTAACATTTTTTCTATGTTCTTGGTATCTCACCTTATATGGTATTTTTCTCAGGGGCGCGAGTTCTGGCGCACCCTGTATATTAAGAAATAACAATCCTAACTAACAATCCTAATTTTTCTTTAAAAAGATTTATGTATATTTTTGTTGGGGCATTAAATCGGCGTTGTGCATTGTCTGAAAGTAAGGTCAATAACGGCAATCAAGAGAGAAATCAATCTAGCTATGCAACCAAAGACGAACGACCACGAGTTTTTCTTATTGATACCTTTCATAGTATGTATTGAAACAATTAGAAACGTAATTCGCCCAGGCAGAAATTTATGGATTTTAGAACAAAAGCATCCAAAAATTCTGCAAAAAACCCGTACTTTACTGAATTACTTTATCTATGTATTCTACAGAGTCGATTTAGAATCTAGCGACTTGTTTTTACTTACATACATAAAAAAATAAAACGTCAAATTATTTTTAACAGATTTAAAGCAAGTTTAAGCCTTCTTGAGTCTAATTCGAAGAATAAAATGTTGCATTCAACTCTTTTGAGTGTAAATTGGACGCTTTATTCCACCTCGTGGATGATTAAACTCGTGGTTTCAAAATCCACTCGGTGAAATAATGCGTCTGATTTACATTCAAACTCGTAGAATAAATAACTATAATAAAATGAAACATCAATTGCTGATGTTGCACTGTTTGCAGAATTACGAAACACATTTTTTCACGTAATAGAACATTTGAAGAATGGTTAAAAACACTGTATTTATAATCTTAAAGGGTGTCATCTTAAAAAATAATAGTTATTTATTCGACGAGTTTGAGTGTAAATCGGACTCTTTATTTGACCGAGTGGATTTTTAAACCACGAGTGTAACGAGTGGTTTACCATCCACGAGGTGGAATAAAGCGTCCGATTTACACTCAAACGATTGGAATACAACATTTTATTCTTCGAATTAGAGTCAACAAGGCTTAAACTTGCTTTAAATCTGTTAAAAATAATTTGACGTTTTGTATTGAGAAATG